CCTGAGGGGGAGACAGCATCCCTGGGGCTCGGGCGGGGTCCCTGGGGGTCGAGCGGGGTCCCCTGAGTCAGACTGTCCCTAGGGTAGGACAGTGTCCCTGGGGGTGGGACAGGGTTCCCGCAGGTCAGGAAGGGACCCTTTGGGGGCACAGGGAGCCTGGGGGCAGGCAGGGTGCCCAGGGGTTGGGCAGGGTCCCCGGGGGTGGGACAGGGTTCCCGCGGGTCAGGCAGGGTCCCCGGGGCAGCGGGATGGGGCACGGGGCGCTGAGTGGTGCAGAGATCCCTTGCGGGTACCACTTTGGCGCTCCAGCCATCGTGATGCCCGCGCACAGCAAAGCCACGGGCCGCTTTCTGGGGACCAGGGAGAGGGGTCCTCGTGGCGGCATGGCTCCTTTGGCCGTGACGGCTGGCTCCCAGCAACGTGATGGTCTCGGGACGCCAGGTCTCTGTGGAGGAGTGATGTTTTTTCCTTAGCGCAAGATAAACAGCTGGGAAGTGGGCGCTGGTGGCAGAACTGGTTAACACGACTAGTCCTGCTCCGAGCTATTGTTCTCTGGTGGTGTTGAGCTTTGCAGGCTTCTGCTGCTATTTCAGGCCTGCTGAAGGGCTCGTGTACCCAACAGCATGCCTGTTTTTCTTCTAATTATTCCAGTCAGTCTAAAAAAAGAGATTACCTCCCTCTGCAAACCTTGCCTCCATTGTTCTCAGCAGAAAAGATAAGACGGGGGAGAAGGCAAGGAGAGGAAAAGCGTTGACCGCAGTTACCTCCAGATTGAATCCTGTCTGCATAGGTATTGCCACCGCTCTGGGCCAGACCAGCAGACAGCGGCTGCTGAGCAGAGATGCAGAAGATGCCAGAGCACCCGTCCGGGAGGGCTGCTCCCCTCCAGCAGCAGCCTGCAACAAAGCGAGGTCCCTGCAGACCGTGGTCTCCCGTCTCCAGAGGGGCGGGTGGTGGCCCGGGGAAGGGGGCTCTGCCGCGGGAGCTGAGCCGGAGAGCGGCCGGCCTGGGTGCACCTATGCCTAAAGCATGAAGCCTCCTTCTGCGGCCCGGAAGCACCAGTGGATTTTCCAGCTCCCGCATGATCTTGCTTGCAGAGCGCAGAGGGACTGGTGCTCGAAATCAGCACGCGTGTGAGAGCAGGCCGCAGTTAGCCGCTCTTCAAAATAACCTAGTTGCCTTCCTCTTGCCATTTTGGCAAGGCCTTAGCCTCAAAAAGCCTTTTTCTTTCAGAAACGAGTTTTCACT